TGAACCACATGGTTGTTTACTCCCATGGAACTGCAAGTCACTACACACACAACATGACCCCATCCCGAAGCCCATACACAACACGCTCTCCCCGGTCAGTTCCTTCACCAGCAGGTCATGAGTGTGTTCACACATGATGCCGGTCGCAACGCGCTTCGCGAATTTGGGTGTGTAAAACGCGCTCTGGTATGTCATATGTCCTTCACAAACCTGATGGGCCTATCTTTGGGGCATCTACATGGGAGGTCCAAGAGTTGGGCCATGCGCTGATGGGTCGTCATGACCTTCCAACCTTTGTGAAGCAAACCTCCTTTCTTAGGATCCCTCAGGTTCACCTGACATCCATTCACCACCGCAAACCAGGGTTGATACCTCTTCATGAGTCTTTGAACCAGGGGTAACCGCCAAGCATAACACTTTTGTGACCACTCCCAACTCACATGACAACCCTGTTGGACAGCATAGTGCCACACGCATGCAGCACCCACATACTGACGCAGAACCTCTTTCCGTTTTGCCTCGAGTTCAGCTCTTTGAGACATGGTGCGTTGATTCAAATTCTGAATGGGGGAAAAAGGTCCGCAGTCCGTGGATATCCACACATGTTTCGGTTTCAGGGTGTGAATGCGATGTAAAATCAACTGAACCCCTTCACCAGTGGTCAAATCATGACCATTCCAGTGAGCACAGCGGACTGCTGCTTCAGGATAGCCCATTTGGGTTTGCAGCTCTTGACTCAAAACACTTTCGGGGCCACAAGCCACTTCAAGCAACAAGGTTTTCCTTTGTTTCACAAGCTCCTGAAAAATTCTAGGGGCAATGCGGTGCGACTCTTGTTCTAAGTGTCGAGCGGCTGCTGCAGACAACACTCTGGGTCCAGTCCCGTCCGTGGTGCGTGATCCGGAGTCTGAGACTAAGCTAGGGCCTGGACTTTCTAAGTGTGGTGCGCTCAGATCATGTCGAAGCTGTCTGAGGTTCCTTCCGACCCCCGTGACTTCCGCTCCTTGCGAGGGTTCATATTGCCCTTCACTTCGACGATCTCCTCCTTCAGCTCTTTCATGGTCTCGGCGAGATGTTGGATCAGCTCCAAGGCCTGAGTCGAGGAGGACACACTGGCGCTGCTCGCAGCGCTGCTGCGGGCTGGAGTCCCCTTGGGCTCTTGTTTGAGTGACACCACCTTTGGCTCGGGCTCCTGAGTGCGGTACCCGGTCTTGGTGCGAGTCGGCTCGGAGTCCTTGGTCATCTTGACATCCTGATTCAGGAGCCATTGTGCTAGGCGTGCCAGCTGTGGGCAGCACGCATTGGGATCCTCCTGCCATGTGGTCTTCACCCACGTGCAGTATTGTTTGTCCTCCTTGATCTCCGCGTAGGTCAAGGAGGCTCCCTTCCCGAAACCCACTGGATCGTAGGCATCGGGCTTGCTGGTCTTGTAGATGCGGATCATCGCAGCCTTCTGGAGCTGCGCCTTGGTTTCGTTGCCGCTCTGTGCAATGCCCAGATCGGCACAGTGCTGAGCCACGGTGCTTTTGCGGGCACTGGCTTTGTTCAACTGGATCACCATCTCGCGCAATTCGGTGCGCTTGTTCTTGCTGAGGTTGATGCCATGCTCCTCGTGGAGTTGCAGAAGGCGACTTCGGAGTTCGGTCACCGTCCACTTGGCCGGTGGGGTCTCCCCGAATTCCTCGAGGGCTGCCATCAGGTCGGCTTTCTTCATTTGGCTCACCATGTTGGGCACTGTCACGAACTTGAACACGATGCGTCACGCTGCTTGGGCTCTCGCTGCGGCGTTGTGCGGTATGTCGTGTCTCTTCAAAAGAAATGTTCTGTTCAAAAGGGGAAACAGTATCACTAACTTCAAAAATAGAGGTGGAAGAGGTAACAAAAACACGGGCACTGTCAACACTATCTTCCATGACATGTCTCTCTTGGGCAACCATGACATTCTCTTCGGTCGATGGCCTCTCGGGTGTCCGATGCGGTCGGACCTCTCTTTCTCCCTCGGACGCAGGATCAGAGAGGAGTTGTCCCTAATGAATATACTCCCGGAGGCTTGGCACCTGACTCTTGCAGGTGTGTGCGGTCTTAAAAAGATCTTCAGTCAGCGGCAAAAGCTGGTGTCCAGCTGCTGACCGTTCGAGGGGAATGATCTTCGTGGCGTCCAGGCCACGCAGAACCAGAAGGTCTTCGTCAAAATCGATCACAGCTTTGAGTGCCCTCAAGGTCTGAATGGACAGCAGGATCGGCCCACTGCCTCGATCCAAGGCATGGATCTGGAGAGTTCCGGGCTTGTCATTGGCTGTGACTTGAAGCTGTGTGGTTGAGATGCAGCGATCCTTGGACCCATTGCCAAAACCAAATTGGGGTTGGTTGGTCACATCGACCTCTTGGATTCGACTGCTGCCATGCTTGGCGATGTTCTGGTCCATGACGGCCTGAATCGCTTCCACACTGCCTAAGGTCTTGGTAGCCCCACCATCAATGACAGCACAGCCTGCCTGTACTGCTTCATAGGTGGTCCGGCATTGGTCAATGCCATTGGTGGCCAGTGCGGCCTCTTCGGAGTAGCACACAAATGGTGCCTCCTCGGTCACATGGCTCTGGTGCTTGCCATCTGAGTTCTGCTTCTCTGGACACTCATTGGTGCGGTGACCTTTGCCACACTTGAGGCAGGTCATGCCATCTGACCTGGGAGGATATGGACGGTGAGGTCGCTGAAAAGTCGTCTTGTAGTACTGGCGGGAAAGCTTCACTTGGTGCTGTCGAGAACGGGCCTCTTTCAAGGTCCTTCGAGCCTGTTGTATGGCTGCATAGGCCTCCTGGGCCTGCTCTTCTGCCGCCTGGAAGAGAGCATGTCCCTGTCCCGTCAAATCATCCATCCATAGACCCACATCGGGTCCATCCTCCAGATCAAGTTCTTGATCGGGCTCATTTGCCCAGAAGCCGGCATTCTTGGTCTGTTGATCTCTGCGCTTCAATTCTTCGTCCGGCCACTGCAGCCGTAACTCTTTGGCAACTCTTTGAACTGAGAAATCTTCTTGAAGCGCTGTTTGGACCATGTTTCTTTCGAGACTGTCTAGGCCGGAGTCAGCCAGAAGGTACCAGCCCTGAAGAAATTCTGGTAATAGCTCTTCTGCATGAAGCTTCCAGGGCTCATCATCGGTACCTTCATGGTAGCCATAGCCGTAGCTCGAAGCATGCCAAGATGCTGCTTCTGGCGCTTCACTTGGCGGGTCATACCACTGGTCATCGTCGTCTTCTTGAGGAGTGTCCGCTGGCTCGTCCCAACGAGCCTGGGATCCATGGTCACTCGTGCCAGAGCCATGCCACTGGTTGCGTGACCAGGAAGACCAACTGGAGTTGTGCCAAGTGTTGGACTGCCACCCTTGATAGCTTCCTCCAAGATTCTTGCTCTTGCCATAGTACTGTTGCACTCGTGCGAGTGACTGCCGCGCCCTATGGTAGACCTCAATCTTCCGGGTGATGTACAGGCTCATCGTTTCGAACCGTTTTCTTCGGCTTTGTCGGGAGTAACGATTGAGGTATTCAGTCATCTCTGGGATGGTCGGCCGTCCCAAGCATTCTCGGATGCTGCAGTAAGTGCACGACGCCCCCATTGAATGACAACCATTGTGGCCGCTTGCCCATGACATACTTCCTGGCAGGTCCAGTCAGTTCCGCGACTAACTTGGGGCCAGCCAAGTACCTCTTGTGGTACGGAAGCCCTTGCTCCCACTGAAGGGCTTGTTCTTCATAATCTTGGAAGCTGGTGGCGTCTCCGTCCCAAGCTGGGACGCCATCCTTGGAGCGTTGGATCTCTCCCGAGCTCATCCTAAGTCGTCCTCTGGACAGGTCAAGACGTGTCCAGCCAAAACACTTCCCTGAACCGGCCTTCTGAAGGCTCCGCGCTACCATCCAACTGGATGGCCCGATGAGTAGCTTGCAACGCCCAAGCGGTCGAAGGAGGGACTATGGCTCAAAACAACCTAAACGACACGGCAAATGCGGTGTCCACGCAAAGTCCGAACCTCTTTCCCTCGAACCTTCGTTCACTGCGGTTGGAGCAGTCTTGCCTTCAAACGCATACAAGTGCTTTCACTTGCATATATATATATACACACCCTTCGATGATGACATGGGTCATGTTCATGGGGGATAAATCTATTCCAGTCTGGATGGTCATGAAACCACTTGCGCGGTGTCGGGGTGGTTGGTTTCAACCAGTAGACCACGGCTGTGCTGGGTGGAACCCGGCAGGTCGAAGCCACGAAGCGGACCGGAGACCATGGCATGCGAGAAAACATCCGCACGAACCCGTGGGGGCAGGTTTTTGGTGTGAGAGGATTTCTTGGATGTGAAGGGGAGAGACACGGTTAAACATGTTAAAAGATGTTTTTTTCTTTTAATTGTTTTGTGGATCCTAGTGCTCCAACCATGTCCTCAGAAGGTGGTTAGACTCCCAAACCCACCACAACCACTTTCTGAGGATGTGGTTGGAGCCGTAGGGGATAGTCACAACGTTGGCCTTTCAAGCTTCAGATCAAGGTCATGTGTGAAGATGAGATGGGTATTCTCTCTCTCTCTCTCAGTCTCTCTCTCTCTCTCTCTCTCTGGTCTGCGGTGGCTTTCGCGGACCGAGCAGGTCCAGAAGATTATCTCAATGACAAGTCTTGTGTGAAAGGATGCATAAGAATAGATGTACCGTAGAAGTCCAAAGGCGTTCCCCCAGTGAAGCAAAAGAAGCTCCTTTTCGTGTCACCGAAAGCCATTCTTTCTATAGTCTTTGACTCCCAGGGCGTATAAGATGTATACGTAACTTGTACAACCCATCATGGCACGAACACCATTTACACACCATTTACATCCATTTGTGGCAGATTTCGCCCAGAACCAGAAACTGGAATCCTCGCAAACGGTCCGCCTCCGCCGACCTTTTTCTTGGCTCCAGCAGTGACTTCTCCCCTTTTCCGGACGAGGAACTTGCGAAAACCAACTCGCACAAGATGCCGCCCTCCCAGTGCCTCAGTAGAGAATGATGCTGGGAAAGTGAGTTGTACTTTGTGAATCCTCTTTGGGGGCAAACCTTTCGAGGGAAGCTGCTCATCTTCAGGATTTCTGGGGAATTCATGTCCCCAAACTACTCGATTGGAGTTGAGGAAGGACAAGTAAGTAGAGTTGGGAAATGTTGGAGATCACGATGGGAAGGAACATCTTCGGGAAACATGGTACTTTTCCTGGTTCGATGTCCTCTAGAACCATGACTCCATGTTCCGTGCTCCCCATCGCGGTTGTAACGGTGAAGAGGGCCGCGGTTGTTTCCGGGTCAAAGCCTCCAAACCAGGCCTCGTGGGAGATGTCTATGGCGAGCCCCAAGGCACCAAGCCCCAGACACCTTCCATTGGTTGTTCAGAGGAACACAGATCATTTTGCAGGATGCACCTTGGAGGCGATGAGCAAACGAGCTTTTCCTTGTCCCAACCAGTGCCCTCCCTGCCAGGTCAAGGGTCCTAGCAGGTCGAACAATTGGTGACCTGGCACTGTATAGGCAAGGGTCCTTCCTTTGAGCACTTAACTTCTCAGAGCAGTACAGATCTTAAGAGATCCCAGCCACCTTCCAACTCGCTCTTCTTGACTTCCACTGTCGGGACCGAAGGCCGGTTTGCTCCAGAGGCTCCTGACGGACCAAGCGTCCAAGCCCCCTCAACCCCTGTTGAGGCGCCGAGTGCTGATCATCGGCGGGAGCTTCTCCGGCTTAGCAGCGGGCCGAGACTTGGGGAGCCATTACTTGGTGACTTGGACGAGGGCTGCGGCTAGTGGCCAGTGGGTTAGTCACCGAGGGTCGGTGACTGATTGACTCACTGACTCACTGACCGGCCCAAATGGAACACAAACTCCTCGAAATACCACCCGGAGTAGAGGTCACCAAGGGTGAAAAACCCTCATGCATCTTTCCAACCCTCAACTCAAGACCTGGCTGTGGAGGTCTCCTGGCCAACTCAGATTTCAGCTTGAGCTGGGAATGATGAACCCGAAAGAGATTCCTTCAAATCCAGCCCTATGGATCCCTCCTTTAAGCACTAAACAGTGACTGGATACCAGTATGGGGCCACTCGGTTCCCTACGCTGAGTGCCCCATCTCGGACTGGAGCCGTGCGAAGCGTGCGCGGATTTGTTCGACTGGGCCGCCGCTCCTGGGAGTTCCACGCCTCGCGAGTGACGCGCTAGGCAACACATGTCAACCACCGGAACAGGACCTCAACCCCCCCCCCGCAGTGTTCAGAGTGGCATTCCATGTTACAATGGGGTGCTTGAACCATGGTCTCAGGTTTTTGATCCACATCCTTGGGTTTGGACTCCACTCCTCTTCTTGTTGTTGCTGCTGGTTCAACCCCTTGGAGTCGCTGTTTTTTCGCTCGCACGTGTTGGGACTGGACCAAACACCGAGATACAATGATGTGCGGGCTGTTGATTGAAATTTTCTCCGGGACCAGTAGTCTCCAAATCTGGCAGCTTGGTGTACGCCGGTCCAAATTTGGAGTTGTTCTTTTACACGACATTTATATACCTGGACCATCCAATGGATGTCCAATGGACTACCCTGCACTACCTAGGGGTCTCCATTGGATGGTCCAGGTACTTTGCCCCTTTGCTTTCGAACCTTGCTTTTCCATGACACCCCATGATCAGAACCCGCCTCGATTTGATGGACTCTTGGGGCATCTTCGTCCCGTTCACGGGGGAGTCGTCCACTCACCCTGTCCACCAGTCCGGCCCAGGTGACGATCATCGATGCCAAGGACGGGTAGGGAGGGTCGATGGCCTTCAGCAGAGGGAGACCCGATCACCCTTCAGCTGATTAGACTGGTCTCTGGCCAACCTGGAAGTCGGGTTGGGGGGTCGGTTGCTCTTAAACCAGGGGGTTCGGTGTCCCTGGTTTGAAGAGCGACCCATCTATGGGGAGGCGTCGTTCGACTTTGGAGTCCTGGTCCTTTTGGGGCCGGTCGTGCCTTGGTCGGTCGGGTCTTCCAACACCTTCCAACTGCCGGGAGACCCCACGGGAGTCCCAGCACGGTACCCTTTTTCAAGTGATCCCTTCAATGCTCATGGGAAGAAGAGCGGGGTTTGGGGTCAGAAGACTCAGGGTGATGGTCTCAGGTTTCGAAGTATTTGGTGGATGAACCCGTTTTCCTCTATCCCAGACCTTCCAGGGTAAAGTCGGATTCCACAACTGCACAGGATCCCGCAACTGGGATTCTGCAACTATGGGTCGGATTCCGCAACTGGGAATTTGCAACTGTCCTGATTCCGCAAGTGGGGTTCTGTAACTGGGGTTCCACAATTGTCTTGTTTCCGCAACTCGGATTGCACAGGCATCTTGATTCCGCAACTATCTTGATTCCGGAGTTTCAGAATACCAATTTCAACACTTCAGTTTCTCAGTTTCAGAAGTATAGTTTCAGAATCCCAGTTTCAGAACCCCAGGTTCTGAATCTGACCAAATAATTAGGTTCAGAATCCGGCTCTCACTGTTCTTCTAGGATGTGCCCCGAGAACGAATCCTGAACATTCCTGAACTCCCAACTGGTGCAAGGAGTATTTCGAGTACACCCCGGGAGTCTTGCGTGCCTACGTCAAACCAAAGCACTTGGACGCGCTGACTTTTACTTTGCAGCCAGTGATTGAGGCCTGGCTGGTCATTGTTTCGGGTGGGATGTGCGTTTCAGAAAGCAGCAGGTTGATGGATACCTCCCTATGGTTTTGGTGAGATGTTGTACCGATCCGGAAAAGGTCTGGCCACACAGCAGGGGGTGCTAAGCCACAGGATTTTCCAAGGCATTTCGGCCAGATGCTGCAAGGATGCTGACAGCTGTTGACACCTTCCAACATCTTCCAAGGATCTTTTTTTTCCCCGATCCCCGGTGGAGGGCGTTTCTGGTCGACTTGTACTGCTTCTTTCGCCGTAGCCGTAGGAACGTCGACGGTGTCGGACTCGAAGTGGAGTCGTTGAAGTGAAGAAAGCGGTTTCTGTCGCTGAAGCTTCGTTTGGGTGGGTCCGGACAGTTTCGGGGGGGAGACATGACCCCAAGATCTTGAATGATAGGCCAAAACAGCGCCATGGTGGTGCTGGTCAAGTGTGACGCCGGACGGACACGGAGTGATGACGAGCGACTGTGGGTAATGTGACTGGGTCGAAGTAAGACGTGCTATCAAACCATTTTGGATGAGGATCCGGTAGTGACTACACTCCCGAAAACTAACATAGACCCTGACAATGGCCCCCTGGAAGAGTGTTTTCCTCTACCAACCAGTGGTTTTCAGGGTCCATGTTAGTCTTCCAGGGCGTATACTCAAACGAATGACACCTGGACCTGGAGTTTAAGCTGCATGGACTGACTAAACATGAATTTTGCCAAAACGAAAACCTCTTCAAAAAAATCATCATATGTCCAACCATGACTAGACAGTTCCTGAATCAACCGTCGGTTGCATCATTCCTGAATGATTCAGACGCCCCGCCGTGTCCCGTCCAAGCACCGACCTTGTTTGGTCCACACACCTCGGCTCGGCTCGGCTCGGCTCGGACGGGCGGCGTGGCGTCTCTCGCCAGACTCGCATGGGCTGCAAGTACATTTGGGGCGAAGTGAAGGAGTTGAACGGTGCGGAGAAGCCCAGCTGCACCGGAATCCGACGTGCGAAACAACTGAGGTTCATGAATGGACAGTTCAGAAAAAGCATGAGAAAGCCACGGTTTTCACCGAAGAAAGACATCGTAGGAGCTTTTTATATTTGCACCACCCAAATCACAAGGGAGCTTTGTCGCAGGTCCTCATGGACCGTAGCTGTGGCTGTGGGTGGCACAAGTTCGCTGGGCACTGATGGGTCTACTTCGTTCGCTCAGTTCCGATTCGATGTACCAGTGGTTTCAAAGTAGATGGCACAACCCCAAGAGGTCCTTTATATGGACCCCGGACCGGCCTTTAGGGTGATTTTGCACTCTACTCTGAAACCACAAAGGGAGGGGTCTTCCAACTGAACTGAACTCGGTGTCAGTGGAAACACCACAAGAGGTAGGCGATGCGACCAGGATCGCAAGGATGCGTCCTCCCCATCTCCGTCTCCGCCTGTGGAGACCACGGCGGGCTGAGGAAGACGGCCACCTACAAGCCAATCTTCACCAGTGAGAGAGTCGCTGGGTGTCGGACTTGGGGGGAGTCCATCCGCTTCGGAGATTCGAACCCCCCCAGAAAATCTCGGCGGGTCGGCGAGGAGTTACAGTGAGACCCTTGAAAAACACAGACTCTTCCGCTATAGTTGTGACTCAGTTGTGACCACTCCGTGTCTGAATGTAGAATTATGCGATTTTAGGTGAACAGATGATGTGAGCATGAACCATGAAAGATTCATGTACGGATTCTTCCCCATGTTTACGTTGTCAGTCCTGCGTCGCTGGTGAGAAGAAACTGCCAGTCAGCTTTGAACTGCCGATCTGTTTGTGTGCCCGTTTGGATTGGAATTGATGTCCCAAGTCATGTCACCTGAGTGTTTTGCTCGGGAAGAAAGACATTCTGGGATGTCTTACACGACAACTCTATGCTTGTTGAGCATCGGTCGCATCAGTGCTGGAAACTCTTAGCAGATCTCGTTTGACCCGGGTCATCCGGATGCCCCGCCATCCGTGAGACTGACGATCCTGAGGTCGAACCGAGGAGTGCAACGATGTTCACGACAACAACGGACTTGTCATGATATGTGTTGTGGTCTGTCCGAACTGACCTGTAAGTCATGTATAAACAATTACTGTATATATATACATATACCAGGGGCCCCACAAACCATCAAAAACCGGGTTTTCCCTTTCAAACAAACTGGTTTTGGTATGTGAAAGCCTTTACTTTTCATGGTTTTGATGGCCCCTGGTATATATATATATATCAATTATATATCACTATTTGGGAACAAGGCCTGCAACCTGACCTAACCATCATCATCCACTGTTACTGGTATCCCAGGATAGACCCAAGACATGTGGGTTTAGATTTTCCCACACCGAGGGACTGCAGAGATCTGCTGAGCACCTCAAGGTCTGTCGGTAGAAGCCATGCCGAGAGGTAAGCCGAAGCCCCCGATTCGAGGCCCCTTTGATAGAGACATTCTCAGTTCTGTGCAATAATCATGTGACAAAGCATCATTTGAAGGCTCCAACCTCCAAGAATGAGGTCAAAGTCTGGATCATGGTCTAACGCAGAATCTTGCTTAAGAACACTCCCCATTTGGATTGGTGAACACCTCTTCCGGGGTTGGACAAAATACATGAACCGGTGTCGCCCTTGGACCAACACACCATAGGATCCAGGAGACCAAACCCTCGTGGGCTTCCTGAGGAAACCATTGACTTCGACTACTGCATCATTGCGGCGGGCTGCAATTTCGGCCCTTTCCACAAGCTGGGGGGACCCAGAAGTGACCACGGTCGCGCACTCCGCGCGAATCGCAGGGTCAACTGGTCGTTGATCCCCGAAAGCCCTGCATGAGGCTCGGATCTCCTGAGGGCCGAGGTCATTCACATGTCAAACTTGCTTCCAAGGAGAAGTTTGAACTGCACTGCAGGTTCATTCTGTTTGCTGGTTCAGTTCCATCGCTTTTCATTTCGGTGTTCAGCTCATCCTTGGAAGCTCTAAACAGCTCCTGGCTTCCATCCGTCCCCCCCTCCGCTCGCCCGTTTTCCGCCGCGCGCGCGGTGCGACAGGTGGGGCGAGTCACTGTGGTTCCCGACCATCCACGAGGATGCGCGCCCGGAAGGCGGGGGATAGAAGGCGAAGGCACACGGCCAACGGAGAGGTGAAGGTGGAGAGGCAGAGGATTTGGACGAGGTGAGGTGCGATAGGAGGGGGAGAGGTAGGATGAGATAAGAGAGGTATAGATGAGGTAGGTAGGTGCTGCTTCTTGATGATCACCGTCCCAAATGTTCAGCTCACTCTGTAAATTGTGAGCTCTTTGACTGAGGTGATGTAGGATCTTTTCCTTCAGAAAGAGATGCGTGGGGCGTTAAAAAAGGCACTTGTGCCAGCTAAACGTGCCAACTCCCCAGCTGTCTTGGCTTCCACTCCCTCCCGGAACCTCCGTGTTGCCAGGCTCTTGGCCTCACCTGGATGAGCGCTACTTGGAAGGCCGCAGGCGACACGTCCTCGAAGAGTGCCTTGGAAACCATGGGCGCCTTGCGGCGGCGCCGACGCCTGCGTCGGGCGGTGACGCCTGCGTTGTGCTTTCTCAACCATGAGTTATCGGCTCCGGATGTCTCCAAGAAGGTGGGGATGGGTTTGGAATAAATCTCCACACCTTCTGGTAGTTTCATCCATACGTCCAATCATATACGTCCATAGGGCAAGTTGATGCAAGTTCATAGTTCATCCCCCTCTCTTGCTCGGTACACTGAGTCACTGAGCGTCTTGAGAGCGCATGCTCCTTTCAGACAAGGCCAGCTGAGAAGGGTTCCTTTGTGGTTCTTTCCAATCACTGATGATGGCATGAGCGCTGTAAGGATTGTCGTCCTCCCTGCCAAAACATGCATCAGTGGGAAGCTTCCACTTCCTAAAAAGTGAACGTGCTGTTTGTGCCCTATACTAGCAACAAGGGCATCGCTACTAGGAGCAAGGACGCTACTAATAGCTCCTGGCCTTACTACTAGTAGCAAGAGGACGCTACTAGGAACAAGACCTATAATTCTTCAATGTCATCAAACTTCTGACCTGTGGATGCTCGCCCATCTGCTTTGCATCTACTTATCTTCTTGCGAGTTAGGGTTGAAATATGAGTCGCGAATCTGAGGTTCAACAACAACATATGTAGCCCAAGGGTCTCACATTGCCAGTAACAGTCGGTGAAAGGTTGCCACTATATGTATACACACAACTTTTCGGCAAGGCCTTTGCTGACCAGCATCTTCCACCGGTAGTAGTGGAATCTTTATCGCTCTGAGACCCGTATCATCTTGGCATCTCTTTTGGCTTCGAGGTTCAACTTCCTGAAGAGCTTGAACGACAAGTCGGCCACCTGCCTGGTGGTCGGCGCTGGCTTCATCGGTGTGGAGTGGGCCACGGAGATTCAGCACTTTTTCCCCAGGGCGTCTCGGCTCCGCGTTACGTTGGTGGATATGGAGGACAGGTGGAGGACAGGTTTTCAGGTTTCCCCTTGCCCCACAGGTCAAAGTCCTCATCTTACCGGAGTTGGTCATACAAACACTTTACTCAAGGATGTAAAGGACCAGGTTTTACGGATCTTAGACTTGTAGGGTTGGTTGGTTGGTTTTTTGTAGTTGTCTTTCCTTATTTTGCTTTGGTGGAAGTTTCTCCCTGTCTCTGCCCGAGTTTCACCATGTGCCAAATAGATGTGCCACGATGTGCAGAGCTGGACTCTAAAGGTGATGACAGTGCTCCATATCCCAAACACGACTAATGGGACTGCCATAGGACTGCCGATCAGGCCAGGGGTGGTTGACCAGGAGTCAATGTAGACATATATACCATACATGGAGTGTCTGGATATTTGTTTTGACAACCAACCGACATGGAAGGGCCTGTTCTTGGTCCATGCCAGCCAGATGGCCTCTCTTCAGCTTTTTCGAGTTGATGGATCACCCGACAACAGCAGTCTTTCATTGGACATGGTGTTCCAAAAAAGCCCCGGAGGCGGCCATCGTTCCGCAACGTTCGACGGGTGTTTTTCCGAACCCAGGCTTGGGGTGAAGCGAAGACAGACGAGTCCACCCATTCGCGGCCCGGGGGTACCCCTAGTGGTACCCCTATTTAGACTTATATTTATCCCCATCTGGTGTGCAAGTATTTCTTTACTGTAGGTGGACCCCTGAGTATATAATCTTATTTAATCTTATTTAATTCTTATTATATATATAGAATATAGAATATCTAGTGGTTTTAAGTTCTAAATAAAGAGCTGCCAAATGTGGGGGGTGCGTCATCCGATCATTTCGATGTCCTTTTTGGATTTCACCTCCATGAGAATTGGAAGTTCAAGATAGGTGTATTCTGCATATCGTCACCGACACCCGGACTCGTCATGGATGAGGTGAAGTTGACCATCATTGATTTCTTGCCACAGCCGCTGGGTCCTCTGCCAGCTTCGGCAGCCAAATACTGTGAGACTTGGAACGAAGGTGCGGCCACGTGCTGCACCTGGATTGTGGTGTGGGGGAGGTTCAGGAACACGGATCACTACGTAGTTCTAGTGTTGTTGTCTGGTGCATCTCATATTCTGAGGAGAAGTACATGAACAAGGTTGGCATCAAGCAGTTCTACAACACCAAGTACGATGCCAAGAATACTGAGTTCTGGAAGAGCATCGATTTGCCCAACGGTGCGGACAAGGAGTACGTGTGCATCGGTGTGAAGGCGTCCAACTACTTCATGCCAAAGGAGACCCTGAGCGAGAAGGGACCTGGTGGCGGAGGTTGGATTCTGATGGCCCACTCCTCAGCGTGTGGTTTCGAGACCCAATCACGAACGACAGCAATACATGTTTGAGTCTGAACAGAAAAGGACAGCAAGAGAAAGAAGGACACAAAGAAATCTAAAGAACAATATGAAAACAAGAACGAAAGAAAGCGCCACAGAGATTAAATACACATTTTACAGCACCTCCTTGACCTAGAACCAGAACTTGTCCGTCAAGACTCGCGATGGCAAGCTGTGGGGTGCAGATGACAAGGGCTTCCCCCCGCATCTATGCTGTGGGCGATTGCAACTACGGGTGCATTGAAGAGCCAGGCAAGAAGCCAGACGATTGGCCGATTCCACCCATCCCAAAGATCTCCTACCCCGGTGAGGAGATGTGCATTGTCGCCTGCACCAACATCGAGAAGACCGACAGGCTGCTCTTCCAGAGCAAGACGGTTGATTGCTGTGGAGACCCATTGAAGGTTTGGGACATGCACTGGCCATGGGGTGCCGGGATGTTCGCCACATCCTTGGGCCCAGATGACGCTTGCTTCGTGGCTGGCGCCAATTGGCAGAAGAACTCCGGCCTCATGTGCGTTTGGGGTCAGGTCTGTGCCGTGCAGAAGGAGTTCATTGAAGCCTCCAAGACGGATGCTTGGTCCGTTTTGGTTGCTACCTCCGGTTTCGGTCAATGCTGGTTTCAAGTCATGACTTATGACCGTATACAATATACAGCACATTAAGTACTATGTATATATATATATTATATTGTTACTATACACAGTAGTATACACATTAAGCACTATACACATTGGTATACACATTAGTCATTAGTATTTGTTCGTATATCCCCTCACCCCACCACCACCATGGACACCACCTAGACGAATTTTGCCACCACTCCGCCCGACCCAATCACACGCCCGGGTCTTTCCGCCCAAAGCCTGTCTTTTGGGGCCCATCTTCAACAGGGAATCAATGGTATTCCGTGGTCAAAGCTCAAGTTCTGTGTGCAAAAAAAACAACCAGCACTACCCAGTTCGGGTGGTTTATAGACACCCAAGGTATAAAGGTATTTTCAATAACCACCCTTTTGGTGGTGCTGGAAGGTGCGCTTGTTTTGTTCTGCGTTTGCAGAACATGAGTCACAGGCTCGGGGGTCACAGGGATGGCTTTGGCAACAGATCCTCAGCATGGAGCTTTTGCTCCGGTGATAGACTATCTTTGGCGTCGCCCAAGGTGTTCTCCAGCTCAACCCTCCTAGAGATGTGGGTCAAAACATGTGGAACTGATTTTTTCACAAATTGGGAATGTCCACCTTCTATGCAGCGTACTTGAAGAGCGACCAAAAACAGTTACTCAGTTCCAGACATGTTTGGGACCTTCTTCACTCATCCCTACCCTGCCTGGGTCGCCCAGGATGAGTGCGCCTATGGCTTCATTGGCCGCTGCATTTGGTACTTCGTCCACCACACGCCGGTGCACCTTTTCGGCGGTGGCCCACGCTGGGGTGTCTCGGCGGAAACGCGCAGCCAAGGGACGTGTGCTTCTTTGGACCGGCTTGTTTGGTGCTCTTTTGGTGGATGCTTTGACGGAAGCGTTGGCTCTGGTGATTGGTGCTAGTGCTTGTTGGTGCTCGGTGCTGGGTGCTCATGGGCTTTTATGATTGGTGGCTGTTCGACATTTGTTGAACGTCTCCACGAAGCTAACTAAGTTCTTAACCCAGATCCGAGAAGCTGTGTTCGGTGCCTCTTCACAGCGATGAGTCTAGCTGACCTTCAGGTTGACCCCCCCCCAAACTATCAACCCCGCTTGTAATTATACAGAAACACATTTGCTTAACCACACCTCTGAATTTGCTTGATTATTCCGTTGTTCCACAACGTTTTCTCATCCTTTTTTAGGCTGAAACAGCCCGACCTTGACCTTGCCATATCTCATCACAATCACTGTTCTGTTTAAGAACCTCATTGGATTTGGTCATACAAGAATCATGACTCAATGAGGTGAAAGATCAGGCTTTACTGGGTCGAAATCGACCTTGAGGCAAACTTTGTTTACATCCCGAAGAAGAGCGGGCGACCGGAAGTAACTGTACAAAGGTCTATAGTAACTCTCTCTCTCTCTCTATATATAGTACTACAATACTATATGCTCAATGTTACGCTCTTGCGGCTTCCAGCTCCAGCCCACGGCAGGCTATTGAGACCGCGAGAGATCCGACGAATGAATGGGCCTTGAACCTGCAGTCAATCTGCATCCCTGCGACATCGCTTCACCTAAACGGGTGAGTGGCGTTTTTCAATGGGATGGAATTTTGCGGACCACTGCGTGCTTTGGTGGCTTTTAAACCATTGCAGACCTAGAGATTATGCCAAGTGAAGGTCGTCACAAAAAGCAGTGCGGCGCACTTTACTTGCCGTGTGAGCGCGTACATTATACAAAGGGTGCCAGAGGGGTTTGTCCTAAATAGCAGCCACTTTTGCCCATTCGAACAACTTCCAAACACCAAGCAAGTACTCGCAATGACACAGGAGGCAAGGGATCTACATTAGTAATCATTAGTATCTACATTCAGAGTCCTTTGGCAAGAGCTGGATTTGATCCTCTCGAGTTTTTCCGGATCGTCAATTCGCTGATTCCACGAGTTCTCTCGATTTCTCAAAAAACCACGAAACTCCCTACCTCTCACAAAAGTGAGTTTCTTTCTTTGAACACGTCTCATGTCGCGGGTCGACACCCCGCGAGCTTACGGCTCCGGCACCGGCGAGCGGCGCGGCGCCCTCCCGTCCGTCCCTCGGCGCCGATGGCACCGTCGGGGAGCTCAGACTGAGTGAGGGGTGGGAAGTGGCTGGGGACACAACTCATCAACTATACAAGTACATACAAGTACATACAATACCCTGCAGAGGAGTCACGACCCTGAAAACCACTGGGTGGGAAATGAAACATACTCTTGCAGAGGTCCATGTTAGTTTACATAGCACCAAGGCACCAAGGTCATCACTAGGCTTACTGCTACTGCTACTGCTACTCGTACAGCTACAGCTGCTGCTGTTACAACTACGATGACTACTACGACTACGACCGCAACCACAACCACCGACGCTCTCTCCATTGCTGCAATCCTTGCTGGCCATTATATGCCTACGACAATCTCTTGTTTTTGTGACTTGGTCCAGTCCTTCAAACCAGGTGATTCCGGATGATACCGGTATTTAGAACTAGCACGAATTAGCGGCTTGGATTTGCTAAGAATGGACAATTAAACTAAAAACACTCTTTGTTCAGCCACAGCCGAGGACCTTTTGTATTTTGCCTTTGAACCGCATACTGTAGTACACCTACAAATCGCCACCCGGTAAGTTACCTTTGCCTTTAGAACCGGGGGTTCTCCGCTCGAACCCCGAAACTTCGATGAACCAAGATCAACAAGACGTTTCCTTGCTGGCTCAGATTAAAACCTGGGGCATTTGACACATCAGCTTGCGCCAGTATATTTAGCCCATTTTAGCCCCATGAACCAGTCTGATGGTATATTAACTCCATCTTTGAGTGTGCTCTCGGAACATTTGTTTTCTTTGCCAAAGAACTGACTTTTAGGCGTGGACACCACGGACACTACTGGGATATCGACAAGCAAGTGGATGCCCTCTCCGAGACTCCTAGACCTAGAAAACCAGGAAAGTTAGATGAGGGAACTGTCTATCCCAAAACACCAGACACCCACACCTTCACAGGGCCGTTTTGATCCGTTTTGGTTCGTCGATCGGTGATGTGTCTGTTGAGGCGTCGGGTGCTGGTGGTGGGTGGCAGCTTCTCCGGTCTGGCGGCCGGCCGCGACCTGGGACGCCCGGAGCGATGGAAGCGAACGAAGCGAACGAAGCAGGTGAGAGCAAGAGCACTGCTTAGCACTGCTGGTCTCCAGATGTCTCCAAATGTTTTTTTCTCCAGATCTGCTTCAGGAATCTTACATCTATGGCATGGAATCTGAAAGAGATGCCAGAATTCCCAAAATCCAGGAGTGCAACCGCAAGCACCTGAGGACTTTCCCAGCACCTGAGGCCATTGGAGAACGTCCAGAAGAACTGAAGTGGATCACTGGGCCCTTAGATGTTCTTCTAGGCTGCTAGACACTTCATATTTCATGGGAAGATCTGCCTACATAGACGCCAGGAAGATCTCCATTTCAAGGGATTTGTCAAAATTATGGTAAAAAAAAAACACACATGGGAGTGTTTGGGAATGCGAACGACCATCTTCCAAGATGGGTTCTTTTTTGGGCCGGTGTTGAGATGGAAGCAACCGGGACTTTTTCTGCATTGCACCAGGGGATCAGGGATCCATCACCCACTACAAAGTTCAGGAGCGAATTCAAAGGATCCTTAATAATCTCATTAGATCATATCCTTTTGTAGAATGTGTGTTCATAGATCAGATCCAGATGATCAAGGACCAAAGAGGCGATCTTCTTTTTTAACACAATTCTTTTTGTATATATATACATATATATATATATGTATCACACTATATCATGATGTTTTCTTTCGTGAATCCCTGCATTTTCACTTGATGTGATCCTAGGTGTGACACACACCACTTAGCACCAACAAACGCTGTTCATGGCTCAAGAAAAGCATCGTCCGTTTTTGGAAACTCAGGTTATGAGCCCAACGACCTGTTTTTCCCTTTGAAGTCCACCCCTGTGGATCAGGGTCGTTGGCCGCCATGAGCGACTTCGTGCGGCAGCGGCGGAGACGATCCTCCCGCGAAGGAGAGCGTCTCCATGATCCTGGAGATCGGGAGGGTCGGCTTCGAGTGGGGGCGGCGGATGAGCGCCTGCAAGCGCTGCTGGAGGAGCGAGAAGGCAGAGCGGCATCGGTGCCGGCGAGGACGGCAGCGGTTAGAAGGCTGGCTGCAGCTCCGGA